TAACGCCATCTTGTAATAATGCTTCCAAGGACATATACACACAACGCCATCTATTGAGCAAATCATTGTCCAGAAGTGGCTACATACAAAGGAGAGAACAACCCATGGCCTAAGGAGCTTCGCTCGTAAAAATATACGAATTCGGATATTAGAGGACGGTTTTAACATCTGTTTTATGCTGAGACAAATAAGCATCGGCGACTATTATGATCATTGGTTCTATAGGTGTTCTAACTGTCTTTAGAAAATACCATTTAGGTACAATCTACGAAAAACGCGTTTGAACGTGTCTGAATCTACTGCGTCTTTGCTGGTTTTCAACGCATCACAATAGCTTATATTGCGTTAAACTTGTACCGAGCAATGTTTTTAAGGAAGCTTTTTTGAAGGTAAGTTTGTTTTTCTGGTGAAAAGAGAGGAGGCATCGATGGATTACTGTTGTAAAAAAGAGACAAACCATACATACTTCTCACCTTTCATACTTTTTCCGCACTGAGACACCACTATACTGGCACAGCTGCTTCATAAGCAATCTAGCGGTTTCTAAGTATATGATCACGCGCAGAAACTGGGTCGCTTCAGCCTTTTCACTCTTAAACGACCTACACAGCCGTCCTTTTTCACATGAAAACCCATCGTGCTCAAACAGCTGCTGTCAGGACTGACATTTCTGACACCTCACATTTGCTTGTGCGCCATTAGGTCGTCATGAATTAGGTTTATGTCATGGCCCTGAACGAAAAAGCCTATCATGCGTGCACGATATTTGTGTGGTTGTGTATGAGGTGAGGCGAAAAATGCGAAAAATGTATTAAGTGAAGGAGCTAGGATTGGCCACGCGAGAATTGAAACCTCGAATCTGGTGGTTATATTGGCTCTAATAAGTTGACAAACTGAATTGCATGAGCAAAGAGACCCAACATCAGCGAAATTTAGACCCATCTAGGTTTTCACTTCGCAACAGCAATAGCAAAGTTCGAGCCTACCATCAGCCAAGTTGAAAACTAACATCAGCCTAATAACCTTATTGTTTCGATCATGGAGCTTTGCTCTTTTCGTTCCTGCTTGGCCAGTGCGCAGTAGCAGTTGCGAACATCAGTAGTGGCACCATGATTGCCCTTATTGTGATCACCAAATCTTGATTTCCATGTTATTAAGAAAGTACCCGGATTCGCAAACTAGTTGTGAAGCCAATACCGAAAACTTGTTTTCATTCTTGCCCAACTCGTGATATGAATTGTGTAAAAGAATGCTTTCAAGTCATTTCTCTCCTGTATATTGACATAGTTCATTGATTACAGAATCCCAGCCTTGTGGCAGAGATAGACGCTGGCCAAACGATTCATACAGCCTAGCCACTTCTACAGTTCGCGACAAAATGTACAAAGTGTTTATACAGGGTGTTTCACGAAATGTGCCAAATTATCTTTAGAAATTATAGAAAAAGGTGTCTGCGTGCTAGACGCTGCGTCGCTTTTCTGTAGAAGAAGGCATCTCAGATTGGTACAAACAATCATCACTGCAGTCATTATAAAAATTGACAAAATTACCTATTTAACCGGTGGTGATAATCGGAGCCTCTGGGTCCGGACAAGACGCCATTGGAACCGGAACTTGGCAACGTTTAACGCTTTAACCTTATCTAGTAAGGCAACACTAGCTGTAGTATACGAGGACCTAGAGGGGGTTAAGTGGGTTGTAACAGGGCGCAGTGAGGTTAGGAAGACAGATGACGCATGTACAGTGCTACAGAATGAACACGTTCTTTGCTATTAGGGCTTCACTGACAGAAGAGAATGGGGCGCGGGATTCCTTATCCACCGAAATATACCCTGTAAGATAGAGTACTACTATAACAATATTGAAAGGGTGGTAGGTATCATAATTAAACTCAATAGGAGATACAAGTTGAATGTGGTATACGCTTACACACTCAAATCCCGCCGTGAAAATGTAGAACCAGGGCATTGAGTAAGGTAAAAACACATTACGCTATACTAATAAGCGACTTCAATGCCAAGGTAGGGAAGAACCAGGCTGGAGATCAGGGAGTGGGAGATCATGGCATCAGTACTAGAAATTCCGGAGGGGAGCAATTAGGAAAGTTTAGCAGAATGCAATAATTTACGAATCATAAACACCTTCTACCGAAACCTAGAACCGTACGTGGACATACTGGAGCCTTAATAGTGAAAGTAAGAACGAAATAGACTTTTTACTGAGTGCACACTGAGGCATGGTGCAAGATGTGCAAGTGTTGGCAAGGTACCATGCAGTGACCATGTGTCAAATTCGCCTATGCTTGAAGAAGGAATAACATGAAGTGATACGCAAGAAGCCGATCAATGAGCTAGTAATAAAAGGGAAAGTACAGAAACTACGAAAGGAAAATCTCGCTTCAGAACATGTACTCGGCTCATATCAAGGAAACCAGCCATAGCATTGACGCAATGAATGATGATGGGACGGGTATAATTACGGAATGTGCAGTGGAACGTTCAGATACGGCAGATATACAGGATACTGACAAGCTGGACCAGGATACAAAGAACCTCATTAAGAAGCGTCCAATCTTGAAAGCCTTAAATGCAACAGAAAAAATGCAATCGGCAAAGCTTTCGAAGTTGATTCATAAGTGTAAGGTATTCAATGTAAGAAGGTATACCTTGGAGAGAATTGAACACGCTCTGAAAGATGGAGGAAGCAGCAAAGCAGTGAAGAGGAAACCTACGATAGGCAAAAATCAGAATATGCGCTTAGGAACAAGACAGGCAAAGTAAGCGCCAATGTAGATAGGATAGTTGAAATAGCGGAGTTTTACAGACATCTGTACAGTAGCCCAGATAACCACGACCCCAATACAAGAACTTGCAGTAACGCAGATGCCATCCCATTAGTAAATATGGAAGAAGTCAGAAAAGCATTACACAGAAGGCAAAAAGGCAAAGCTGCTGGTGAGGATGGGGTGACATCATATTTTCTGAAAAAGAGAGCAGTAAAACTAGCCACCCTGTTTACGAAGTGTCTCCTAAGGGAAAGAGTACCAGAAACAGAGAAAAATGCTAATGTTATTTTAATACATTCGAAAGTAGGTGACAAGGACTTGAAGAAGTACAGGCCTATCAGCTTCCTCTCCGTTGTATAGAAGCTATTTACAAAGGTAATTGCTAACAGAATGAGTACATTAGAATTCAATAAGCAAATAAACAAGCAAGATTTCGAACAAGCTACTGAAAAATAAACTTCATTCATACTATCAATCAGGTGATAGAAGAATGCTCAGAATACAGCCCACCACTATGCATAGCCTTCATTGATTAAGAGAAGGCGCTTGATTCAGTAGAAGTATCAGCAGTCATGGAGACACTACGAAATCATGATGTCAACGAAGCAACTACAAACAACCTGGAAGAAATCTAGAGGGGATCAGCTTCCATCATAAAACTCCATAAATAACGCTACAGAGTACCAGTCAAGAAGGGTGTAAGGCTGGGGGATACAATCTCCCCATTGCTATTTGCTGCGTGCTTACAGGTGGTTTTGAGAGGCCTACAATGGAAATAGTCAGGAATAAGATTTATGGAGAGTACTTTAATAATCTTCGCTTCACTGATGACATTGCATTGCTGAGTAACTCATGGAACGAATTGCAACTCTTCATTATGGAGTTAGACAAGGAGAGCAGAACGCTAAGTCCTAAAATTATTCTGCAGAAAACGAAAGTAATGTACAACAACTTCGGAAGAGAACAGCGCTTTCAGAGAAACAATAGTGCACTAGGAGTTTGAAAAGACTATGTCTATTTAGGACAGGCAATACACGCGGAGCCGAAGCATGAGATTGAAAAAAACTAGAAGAATAAGGTTGGGGTGCAGAACATTTGGTTAGTACTCTCAAATCTCGATGGGTACATTGCCACTATCCTTCAAGAAAAAGGTGTATAATAGCTGCACCTTGCCGGTACCTAGTTACGGAGTGGAGACCTGAAGACTTACACAGAGGATTCAGCCTGAATAGAGGACGATGCAGCGAGTAATGTAAAAGAAAAAGGTACGTATATTCTTAAGAAACAAGAAGAGAGCAGAGTGGGTCAGGGAACAAACCGGAGTTAGGGATATCATAGCTGAAATCAAGAAGAGGAAATGGACATAAGCCAGGTATTTAGCGCGTAGAAAGGATAATCACTGGTCATTAAGGGTAACTAACTGGATTCCCAGAGAATGCAAATGGGTTAGGGGGAGACAGAAAGTTAGGTGGTCAGATGAGATTAAGAAGTTTGTGGGTATAAAATCGCAGCTGCAAGCATACGACCGAGTTGGCTGGCGCAACATGGGAAGCGCCTTTGCCCTGCAGTAGACGTAGTCAGGCTGCTGCTGCTGCTGCTGATTCTGCTGCTGCTGCTGCTGCTGATGATGATGATGATGATGATGATGATAATGAAGGAGAAGTCACGTTCTCTATCAGTGCACTCTTGAGTAACATGTGTATTTTCGCTGAAAAGCAATTATGCGTGATAACGTACTCGAATCGGGCTTCGCTTCGTCTAGAATAAATAAGCCCGCCACGCCGACCTGTTCTATGGTGTTTTTTATTCATTCTTTTTTGACACATGCTTATCAGAGATCTTGCGCGTGGATTCCCCTAAAAGGCCTAGCACAAAAAACTGTTTACCTATAACTCAAAATTATTGTAAATGAATTTGAAGCAACGACCAATAATTCTTTTGCGTCAATACATTAAGCCGGAGCATTAATTTTGCAGCGCTTCGTATGTATCTTGGTAATTTTTTTACGCCCGCTGTGGCAGCCTTCAGCCGGTAATTGCTTTTGGGGATATGTTTGCGTCTTTTGTATTCCAACTCAGAGTGTACCTGGTCCCTTTGAGTGGAAATACACCAATGACAATCTACCTCGACCGCGATGTTGTGTTTCCATTTGTCAGACAATAGAGACCAGGTGACGCAGAGACGTGACAAGCCGACAAGCCGGACGAATTAGGTCACGGTACAGCAAGTTGACCGGTGCCCACAGCGTTTTGCTCTCACTTCGCCTCGCATCTCCCGGGGCACAAGACATCAGGAATGAAGTACCCTCTAGTATTGGCCTTTAATATTGCATCTCTACTGACTGTCGCCGTGTGCAGTTCAGGTATGAATTCGGAAATGTTTTATTCGCTCCATAACTCTATCTTTCTGTACAGCTTCAATACTCTTATGTGAGACAAAAATACTGCCCACATTACATCAACAAAAATGTGTGCTGTTCAAGAAAGTTGTAGTAATCACGTGTGCTAAATGGAGCCGCTGCATTGTGGTTGGCCGATATTCTCGTGTTTTCAATTACAGAATTGTGCCATCAATTAACGGCAAGGTTGCGCAGAAATTGATATGCCACGCCTTCATCTTGCATTTTTTCTAATGTAGGGCTAAATTTAGAATGTTTTCCTTTGCAAAGTTCTGACGAAGTTTTATGATCAGTAAAGTGTTACTAAATATAGTTGAGTTTGAATTGGAAGATTCGAAGGCACGAATAGAAGGCGCGAATGGTTACGCAACGTGAGAGTAGTGAAACGTTGTGGCTGGTACAGTAAGATGCTTGCTTTTACATACTCCTTACCTTCTGTAAGAACGCAGGTAATTCTAACTTCCTTGCCTAGCTAGTGGAACCATCGAACCAATGCCGTACAGATAATCTTGACAACCACTGAAAATGCGCATACACTGCATTTCGGATGAATGCTACTGAAAGTGTTATATGCAACTGAGAGCTCAGTAATCTGCATATTATTGATGTAGGTTTCAAATTACTGCCTGTGTAAGTATTTTGTGGCCTATTTAAAGTCATTCCTAACGCCTTCTAAATGCGGTTATCTGGTGTTAACTACAACATATTCTCCACAATCCTGGCTTAAAAGGAGCTGGGTATCAGTTTTCTATTTTGGAAGCTAACAGCTGCCTTGTGCTATATATTTGTGCAAAAATATTGCAATTAGGTTACGGCATAAATATTCATACTCATATAAGCTAAAAATATTCACTTTATATTAACCCAAAACGTCTTGTCCAAACAGTGCTGTTTCATTTAGCGCATTTTAGCAGCCTATGCATTGTTTTCTGGTAGGCAGTTAACACAGCCAAAGCGAAATAATTCAATATGACTGAATGGGCAGCTTTCACACAATGTTAGCAGCGTTGTCTCATAACTCCTTAAAAAAACCAAGCCTATATTGATGTAGATTTTTGTTCGTGGCGCTTTCAATACGTTGGTAAATTGCGAGAAGTTTCTTACGCACATGACTAAAAATCTCATAAGCCTATCAACTACCTGTCGGACAGCCCATTATTTACCTGCAATCACTATTACCTATGGCATTTTGGAATAAACACTTATGTACTGGCACTCGCATTTCAGGCGTGCACGCAAACACAATGTCACATTCTCGAAGCCTGCATACGTTAGAATATATACGCAGGGATGCAGGACGGCCTTAGAAATCAGTGAAGCTGTCATGGAAGCCTGTAACAAGCACAAGTTCAGCTCCAGAGAGGAGGTTGAAGTAAATAACAATTCTTCAACACGACGTGTTCAACAATTCTCACCTATCACTTAAGGCAACTTTTCAACAAGTGGTCTTGCGTTTTACGTTTCAGCCTTTAGGATGACAACAGTGCTTGTCAAAATATGGCACCAGCGAAACACCGTGCTTATGTAGTTTTTGTTTTAAACTGCAGGCCTTTATTATGTCAAATTAAGTGTTAAACCCAGTTTTTCTGTAGGGCATAAACATACACTTTCACTTTCTTGAATACAAAGTATTACTAATTGATTACGTTTCCTACCATAAAAATAAGATTTACTACGCCGTTTCTATGCTTCAAGCAGAGTGAGAGAACAGGGAACAAACGGTTAGCAAGAGCACCTTCACCACGTCGGTCAACAAGCTTCTTAAGTTAAAATTACTCGCGTAACAAAGCGTAGCAAAGATGAAATTTACGGTAATAAAAATTCTCACCTTACTGATCTCTTTTTGTCGAGTTTCGCAAATACGCACTTTATACTGCTCCGTTAGAACTTTGATTGTGCCTACTTAGCTTTCGAGCTTGCTTTCTTTGTGTAAAAGGTTATACGTGAGGTGCAAAATAGTCGATCTGCACATAACGGTAGTTAGAGGAGTCAAATGATTGGCGCATCGGCATTCCGTAGGCCCTATAATTGAACAAACGCAGAAAAGTTCTTGCTTTTGCCTTCAATTGTCCCAGGTATTAACATACTGTCAGGGTCTTTCTTATAGGGAAAGAGCAGATAATGCTGCAGCCAACATGAAGATGAAACATGCAGATGCCACAAGTGAACTTTTTATTAAGTAGTAACGAGGGAATCCGCCTGGTTGTGGCGTGAGGTCAGACATGCGTGAAGCTAGATAGTTTAATAGGAGTTTCAAGCAACTGGTAATCGGTGTCGTGAACGCTAAAATTGTTCCGTTATCTTTGGTATGCACTTTTATATTGGAAACAATATTTACGCACCGTAAACGTCTCGTGAAGTCACAGTAAGCAGACAGCCTCCCTTTAGAATGAGCTGCAAATTTTGAAGTTTGCACGAGCTATACCGTTGTTCTTTCAATAAGCTTTTGCAATTAACTTGAGCTACTTGACAGGTATAGGAAATATTTGGCACTGGAAGCATCAGATTTCGACGGAAATCTTTCTTGTTAGCGTCTATTGTTAGCGTTACGCTGTGTGATTGTTCCTAGCGACCTAGAAAAGAATGTACAACAAGAAAAATAGGTAATTCCTCGAGGACAGCAAACATGCTCATATTAAGCAGTAATGAGCACAGAATGAAAGTTATGGACGGTGCCAGTTACACAAAATTATGCGCCAAATGGCCTGCATCTAGCTCAATCTTTTTAAGTGCTGATGAAAACTGATGGTCTTTAATGAATACAATCACCCAGGGCACGTAAAAAAAGGTTCTTAATGACATTGCATAAATAATAGTAAATGGTGACGTGCGCTAATGCAGAATGATCTTTGATTAAATGATTGACGATTGACCAAGTTAGCTTGTATAGAAGGTTGTCATTACATGAAAGTTGGAATATCCTTCGAGCAGGGCACATAACGATTTTATTTACCTGTAACTGTCCTATACGCTCTCTGATAATACTGCTTCCCACAGACATCAGAAAACTGATGGCTTTTGAGTTCAGATAATAAAATTTAAACATCGTTTTGGTGTTGACCACGCGTCTTTACTCAAGCTCTCGGCCTTCACACAAGTGATGTCAGGTGAAAGATCTGGAGGCGATGCCTGTTTATTTTATAAAGAGCGTTGCTTTTCTTGCCTAAATTACTTGAGACAAATAGTTCGTGCCAATATGAATGAATCGAACAACACGTTCGGTCATATACAAATAAATCTTGGCGCCAAAGCAATAAATAAATAATGAGTTGAGCAAGGAAAACAGCCATATTATTATGAAAGTCTGAGTGATTTTCACTGGACATCGATTGTCCAGCCTAATGCACCAAATTGTCGTTCATGGTGGAGACCGGAACGTCATAGGGAGCGACGACGTGAAAAAAACAGAGAAATAGCATAGAATGGCAATGTCATGAGCTCAAGTTCAAATATTGAAACATTGTCAAGGCCTAACGAGAAAAAAATCACTTTTGTAGCTTTTGAAAGCTGCTGCCCTAGCGTGCTCTGATTTTGAGTACCACGTGCTTTCAGATCAATGTAATTGCCTTGGTGTCACTAGCTGAACTTGTGCTGTTCAACAGCTGTTACGTGTCCGTGACTTCAAAGAGTTAGAGCAGCACTGTTCCCTACAGTAGCGTTGTAACATGCATCTAAAAACACTGCAGTGATTTTGACTAACGCTTTTGTCAAGCACGGTACACTCTTAGCTGACAAAAAAATAGCGCAAACAAACGAGTATTCAGAAGCACAGTACACATACTGGCGCTGAATGTGTACCTATTTGGCAATGTGTTTGGGCTCTCGTGTGTGTATTGTGGTTCTGCGTCCTCGTCTTTTTTGTGCTGTTTTTTCAGCTAAGAACATTTTTTGGAATGCCGACTCGTAGACATCCGGCAATTTCGCTATTTTTTTATTATTCTGTCTTGAGTAGGCATGCGAATAATGGCTCTGTTCAGATACTGCACGTCCAATAATGTGTAGTTTCTTTTGCTACCGAGTTGTCCCAATTTGCTCTCCTTCAGAATGAATAGGCATACTGCTTTGCCTAACACCATGAGTTGTCTCAGCATTAGTCTTACACTATACTGCCCTGAAGTTACCACTGAATGGTGACTCACTCATTTGAAGTGTTCTGTTAACAAAACTTGCACCGGCACTTTGCAGAGTGGTCTGGATGATAGCAAGATTGTATTAATTCGTTCTTCACTACAATGATAACAGAATTTATTTACAAGAGGGTACAAAAACTCTAGTTAATTGCTCATTGCTTTTCTACTAGTAGAGGAAAAACCACCTTGACATTTCCATCACCGGTGTAGGTGGCCTGAACACTTAGTTTTCTGTGAACCCTGCTTTGATGATGCAGTCTTCTTTGAATGATAGTTGCATTATCGTGCGCTACTGAGGGTGCGCTACTTTAGGGCAATCTAATTGAAACTAGAACTATGAGGAGCACCTTTTTTGTACTTTTTATAGAGTACTTGTGCTCTGCATCAATTTTGTATATATTGACGGAAAATATTTCGAATTTTACTGAACGAAGCTCGGGTAGAATCGTAGGGTCATTGCGAGTGAAACGCAGATAAGTGTGACGGGTGGGTATCTCGCGCAGCAGGTAATGTTCATATACGAATATCTATTCAAACACTTGATGATATTTTACAGATGAAGCTTCACGTATTTTTGGGTACAAACGACAGTTACCTCAGAACATCGCATACATAGGCGCATGTGCGCGAAATGTTAGTCTAGATTCACAAATCGCTTAATGGTTTCTGAAAACCGTTCAGGTGATTTGCCTTCAAGTGCACCAATTTAGTGTACCTCAACTTTGTCAACGGCACTGTCATTGACCTTTTGAGACCAAATGTATGGAAAAAATTTACTGCAGAAAAGAATGGCCAAAGAAACAATACAGCCCCGCAATTACTGGTGTCGGCTGAAACGTAAAAAAAGAGGTTGCTTATAAAGCTACCAGTGACATAGAATGGCCCTTCTAGGTTTTGAGAGCCTTTCAAGGATGATGTGCTGATTCCTTAGAATGGAACCTAAAACAAAACTGTATATATAACGCGAAGATTTCGCTTAGCTTAAAGCACAAATATGAAGGTGCTGGACTACAAACTTTCTAAGGAAAAGTGCAGAAAGGCAAAACAAAAAGAACAGAAAGCTGAATTAGTAGAGTAATTTTATAAGAAAAAAATACCCTACTATCTTCAGTCACCATAATAAACAAGATATTATATATTTGCGACAAAAGGTAAATAAACACTTCACCACCTGGAAACATCAATAAAGTTCAAGTCTAACAATTTATGAGTATTTTTCATGACGCTAAGTGCATCGAACCCCTACATCACCCAGAAGACACTGACAAACACTGTCCGCTGTGAGACATCGTGTATATATCGGTTTTGTGTCACCTAAGTGTAGAAACAGCTATTCACCACTTCCTTAAATTTTATTTGCCCAGTAGTCATGGCCCTTCTTGCTCAACTAAGCTACGTTGCCTTCTAGAATTTTATGCCATGATTTGCAAGAAAAAAAATATTACGTCAATTGTTCAAAGCCCTTCGGAGAAGCGATGATACATGCAATGATACATGTATGCTGGCGCGAATCGTGGAACTTCGGGCTCTCTTGTTAACTTCCTTGATAGGCGATTCATACCACAGTTTTAGGGCATAACATGAGCACATGCCAGACGGTAATATTAATTTCAGGTCATCACATGAAACTTTTTACACACGTGTGATGAATGAAATAAATTTAATTCCATGGTCATGGTGCCCTAGTGCGATTTCGTTATTTGATATATACTAAATGTGGTAAGGTGTGACAACACTGCATGGAGAACGTAAGTGACAGGACCTAATGTGCAAACCATGGCAACCTAGCTATGCCCAGCATTATTTTCGTAAAATGGTCGCGGGACACACACGGCCATTTAGGTAACTGTTTGATGCTACTGTACGGCAGGTGTGGTTTGATTTGATTTATTGGCATTGATATGTAGGTTTTACCGTTCCAAAACTGCCATATAGTTACGAGAGACGCCGTAGTTGTGGGCTCCAAAAGTTTTGACCACCTGGGGTACTTTAATCTGCACCGACATCTGAGCACACGTACCTACAGCATTTTCCCTTCCATCGCAAATGCAGCCGCCGCATCCGGAATTCGATCCGGCGACCTGCGAATCAGGAGCCGAGTACCTTACCCACTAGACCACCACGGCTGTCTGGCGGGTGTGAGCATGAAAATAATCATAAGCCTGTTGTGTATGGTATAACTTAGATGCCCTGGTCATGGTGAGCTCGAGGTTGTTCGCTTTATTGATATTTGTACGAAATTTGATATGGCATGACGTGAGGGCACCAAGAACGTAAACGACATATGGTGACGCCACTTGCATATCTTGTATGGAACGATTTACATGCCACGTTCATAGTAAACTCGCGGCCTGCTTGGCAACCTAATCTAGAGAAAAATTGGCATTGCAGGACCAGACAGTATGACAAATATAACTTACAGATCATGATGTGCAAATGATAAACGGCATAATTTTTAGGCATTGTCTTGGTGCGCTCTTGGTTGTACTAACTGGATATAAGCCAAAATTAGTACGCCAAGGCATGGGTGCGTGACGAACACCAATGACAGGTAATCTATTGCATATACCATACCATACAATTTCTTGACGTGATGCATACCAGATCGTGCATACATATATGCATGACAAGCATGTGAACCAGGGTAGTTGAATGGATATATTTTTATTTGAAAAAAATCAAATTGATTGTGGTTGGGTCCTTAGACGTCACCTAGAAGTCCGGGGGGCCTGTGGCCGACATCTTCAGGCCACGGAGCTAGAGATGGGGTGAACATGGCGTAATCACCTGAATAAGGTCATTCGCCTCCAACACAGATAAGGGGATGTGTGCCGCGCTTTGCGGACTGCTTCACAATACGTCGATTCGCACAGTGAGTCACAGCTGCCGGATGTTCAAAATATGATATGAATTGCGAAAAACGTCTCTGATACAAATTTTATTCAGTTCTAGATCAATCCAACGGTCCAGAACAGCAACAACCTGAGCAGCAGCCTGAGCAGCAGTCTGAGCAGCCAGACAACTGTGAGAGGGTAGCCCCCTTACCTCCCGTAAGTAGCGACCACAAGTTCACATATTCAGCGCATTTAGGCAATCTCTGATTATCAAAGTTCTGTTTGATTGTAGGCGTTTCCTCCAATGGAGACCGCCATGTCGCTGCTAAGTTGCTAATATCACGGTTCAATTCTCAATTTCTTTATTTTTATGTGTTTTTTCTTTCTGTTAGTCTTCTTTTCGACGAAATGACCTTTATATTGTAAAATCTGTAGTTATATCATGATTGCATTTTGGTATTTTAGTGAATTGTAGTTCAGGTAATTATAGCGTGTTTACTGTTTTCATGTATTCTGCTGTCACCCCCCTTTTCCTGCCTTGATGTCGTTTGAAAATAGAAGTATTTCTGAATAAATGAATAAATGAATAATAAATAAATAAATAAAGCACATGTCGCTGTGTTATCGTTTGTCCTATCCGCCACCACTTTTTTCTTCTACTCACTCCTCACTAACATATCGCCAAGCTTGCCATGGTATACTGCTCTATACTTGCCTATACTGTGCTTAACTCTCTCCCTTCCTCTAGTTACTCCTCCTCACCTTCTTCCGCCCTCTTGCTACTTTTTACAATGCACGGTTATGCTATGTGAGTAGCTCATTAGGACAGATCCACTTCCAGCAACGCATACCTGCCTACTTTTCACAAACGCCGTGCGCTTAAAATCAACTTCAGCACCTGTATTAGTTAAAAAAGAGAGAGACTAGAGAGACGCTCAACTCACAGTGGTAAAAAGAGCATTCTCTTATGGGGTTCTTTTGAAAACAATACGCCATGTATTTTAACCATACACTCAGTTGCAAAAGACCACTTCAACGATGTGCAGTATACACTTTGCTTCATATTGTTCTAGTTGCTATGAACCAGTTGCTTAAGTATAAATTGAAAGATATAAAAGAAGGGCAGTAGTTCCCCCAGAAAGGTGCATGGAGCTAACGAGTTCTTGAGAGTTGTATTTCATGCAACTAAAAGGTGCTTGAAGCCCACCTAATTAGTTTTCGAAATTCAAAGACTGATTGCATACACTCTCAAGGGGGTTTCCTGCCTTTTGGGAAGAATTAGTGGCATCGGGTGTCCATAAGGGTGACGTTATTGCTAGGTAAGATTCAAATTTGTTTGATTGATATGTGGGGTTTAACATCCCAAAACCACCATTTGAATATGAGAAGTGCCGTAGTGGAGGGCTACGGAAATTTCGACCACCTGGGGTTCTTTAACGTGGCTTCCTATTTGTTTGTATAGGTTGTTATCAGTTGTGAACTTCCTGCTGCGCTGCTTTTCTACGCAGTCACTCTTAGGGCGTTTTTTTTGGTTCCTGCATGCAATAGAACTGGGAGACAAACTGTGACGTTGTGTTCTAGTACTCGGATAGTGCTCCAGTTTTTTCCAAGTGTCACAAGCGCTTCTTCTTCTCTTTTATTCTTTTACAATCGTTTCTGGTCTTCGCAAGCACAGGGCAGTGAACCAGAGCCTTCTTTCTGATTAACCTTGTTGTCTTTCTCTTGAACCTTCTGTCTCTCCATCGAGCATCCAGTTTGCTTTTCACTGGCCAGCTGATTTCATTTCATGTTGTGGGTTTTCAAAATGCAGGCGGGATCACAGCGTGCAGAAGAATATCGTGAAATCGCTATGAGTTCACTGCCTAGTGCTCACACTCTTCCCGTTCAACGACAAAACGAGTGGCATCAACAACGATAGCGTCAAGAGAGGGCAGTAGGGATGTGAAAATAGCCACTGTACTTGTTAAGTCACTGAGACTTAGAGGCACTTTAATTAAAAGCTTCTCTTATGTCAATCTACCATGAGTTGTGACTCTAACACTGGCTGAATCGAAAAGACGTTGTAAAAACAATGCCCACTCTTACCAAAGTGCTAGAAAGCCGTACAGATTTTTTTGTGATTTTCATGGAAAAACGAGAGAGAGAAAAAGTCTTTATCGAACTTCAGAACGTTTAGTCTGCACATGTTTGTCTACTTGCTATATTATGGGGACAGAGAATCGAGGCAAAAAGTACCTTCGGAGAATATGTAAACCATAAACAAAAAATTTCGGTTCACTAACTATTTTAGATGACGAATGAAGAGAGCTAGTTTCCAACTTTAACGAGTACTAAATTGTTGCACTGCAAGAAAAAAACATAATAAGGAGAAATACACAGTTTTACAAGTGGAGCTCCTTAAGCGTATCGTAGCGGCGGGTAGTGCAAACTCTAAATTTTATTATCGCGAATCAATATGCACTTGCTTCGTCCGCTTCAATTACTCTTTTCTTCTACAAGATAGAGCGTATTCCTTCCCTTTGTTCTCCTTCTAACTTAGAGTGTGGAACTATGAGCTTGTCTCTTGTGCAGCGTAGCGCAAACAAAAAATCACAGCATATGCACGGGGTGAACGATAACGAGTGGGCGAAGCTCCGGAGGGAATCATCTGTAAACCGTGAATCTACCGTATTTATTTCGCGCTCTCTACCAGGCTGCAGAAATTAGGTGCCTCCTTTTTCTTCTGACCACTACCATCACCACCATACGACAACTCCGAGCGCGCGCCAACAGCGAGCTAATTTTATTACAACGCTCCCCCTAGCGTACATCACTGAACTATTCCCTTCAATCAATGACACGTGCCATATGTGCCATATAACCTATCGCATATTTCATGTACTACAAGTACTGCCATCTAGTTTTAAATTTATCAACTACAAGGATTATCTACTACAAGTCGTCCGTTAACCCATCCGTGCTTCCGTCCATCCGCGCGACCATACGAACATCCTTGCATGCATCCATCCGTGATTCCGTTCATCCATCCGTATGTCTGTTCGTGCATTCATCTGTCCGTACGTCAACGCGTCCATTCATCCGTCCATCTGTCTGCTAGTCTTTCTGTTCATCCGTCCGTGCGTCCTCTAGCGAACACTCAAAGTACCACCATCTCCCATTTGGCATCCCCTGTGGCACATACCAGCTCTAGAGCGGGTATGCGCCACCGGTGGTTACGTACTGCAACATACATACGAAGGATAAACATACTCACACCTTAAGGGGCTTCGCCCCTGAAATTATTATTATCGTAAATAGTTCGACATCGCTTCACTCTTCTGAACTTCTGCTTCGCTGCCACAACATGTGCGCCAATTTCTCTAGCGTTCAATATAAAAACTATGCTGCGGGAGTCAGTTATGTCACCAAAGATCACGTAATAGCACCCAACAATTAGCGACGAGACTAAAAATGTGCAACACAACGCAACATCTTGCATCCAAACAAAAATTCACGTGGCCTGATACGTGGTAAGTTGTCAAGTGACCAAGAATCACAGCATATCTCGTAACGTGGTTAAATTCACGAAACACAGTGTAATATATAGTAGTGACTAAAATCTTGTGGCAAAATGCGAAATGTTACATGGCGTAAGAGCTAAACACATGACCTTTTGCCGCTATAAATTATGTTGCAGCTAGTGTTGTGACATGTCTAACGTAGTTAAGCCAGGCTTATTACTCTTAGGAAGAGCTTAACGTCTCTGCCAAAGCTTTGCATTACTAGCAAAAAACTAGGTCGAAACCTAGCTCCGTAATACTCCCATTCTTGAACCAGTCGTCCAAAACGTGCACTTCTAGGGTGCACCTTGGATGTTCCTGCGTTGAGCTACCTTACCGCTGGTTTTGCCATCGGTGGCGTAATCGACAAATGTGAAAACATTAGGTGAGAAAAAGTTGGCTGCTTATCAGCGTATTTCGCTGGAGTTGTCATCAAAAGACAATATTCCTCTGCTTGCCATGTAATCACTCATTGTTTCCCTTGCCTCAGACAACGCCTACTTTATTTGAATTGGCCTCATCTGGCTAGCGTTGATAAAACAGAGGAGGCACTGGGTGGAATATGGACGCTATCTGGTACTGCTGTGGGAAAACATTACCTTGTGCTGAACCCAGGGCCTCTACCTGGTGTCAGCAACATATTATCGCCAGAGTGCTTTTTAGTCTATAGCGTCGAGCTTTCGGCGCACCGTACAAAACACGCGCTGTTTTCGTGCATAGCGTCACACTTTCAGCGCAGCGTAACCAAGACACGGGTATTGAGAGTATCGTAGCATTTGTAGTAAAGAAACACGTCACCTAACACATACGTGTTGCTGTTTCACCTGAGCTATGCGTGATATTTGTTTTTTGTTCGACAATGGCCATAAGCATGAACGCAGCCACAAGTTCGAATGGCTGGACGTTCAGCATATGCCTGAACTTCCGCCGGGTGGCTGAACGGGGTGGCAGACTAACATAAAGACAGACAAAATTTCTAAGTGTAATCATCGCAAAAAAGACTACATTCTTAAAAAGAACATTCAAGATCAAAAACAACTTGAACTAGGGAGTTCTGCGTAGCAGTCGTCTTTTCTATCACATAGCGGAGGTAGTTCTGATAAATTCGCAAAGCGACTCTGTACAGGCATCATGTGAAGCAAGTAAACGTGTGGATACATGTAATATAGCGTGCCAAAAGAGTAAAAACACAACTAGTCATCACGTTTGTAATTGTACTAAGAGTGCCAGTTTAATGCTTTCTACCAACATCAAAGTGCTGAGCCATAATTCTTCATCGACATAACCCACATGTCACGTCAATGAAGTGCACATAGTGTCTTAAAATTGTGTAGCGGATACTTCGCTTCTCCGCAAACAGAGGAATTTCGGCGTAGTGCGTGCTCTTCAGCGTTACCATAGTATGATTAACGGCGTAGTAGGTACATTGGGGAAATTCAGACTTCAAACAATGCTGGCCTGCCCCACAACACAAAGCTGCCATCGGAATTATCAATATATATATATATATATATATATATATATATATATATATATTTATTTATTTATTTATTTATAATATGAGCAATACAAATCGGCGCTGCTGAACTGCCACGAGAGAGGCGAGCACAAAACCGATGTGAGCAAAGTTAGAGACAGCCAGCCAGCCGCGATGCTTTGAGGCCATCATCATCAACA